CTCCTCACTCGGCGCTGCAACTGTGCGCTCGCCCAATGGCATCGCATCGCTGACGGTTGCTCTGTCGCGGCTTGTTCTCTCAATCGTTTTCGGGCGTTTTATCCAAATTCTGGCCAACCCAACAATTCCGCCCCAAGAAAGTTAGTCTTACTGCGGGAGCATCCGTGGGGAAGCGGTGGAATGTGTATCGATCCCTTCCTGAAGCGGCTGGAGACTGTTGCACACATGTTATGCCACGCGCTGTGGACTCGCTGCAAGTCATTGGCGTGGTTGTCGCACTTGTTTTTCAAAGAGTTGCATGTTTCCGTGTGCTGAGACGCCAGATCGAAGAAATCCTCGTCTTTCAAGGTTACCATGCTTTAGGTCGGGTTTATCCAGCTCTTCGCGAGCTCTGTTTTCGTGATAGGGCAACGTCCTAGACCCCAAAGTACGCGCAGCCTACGAAGCTTGTTTGATGAATTGTTTTTGCGATAACACGGACACCCTTACCTTCGTATCAACAACGTCAGCGTCAGCGAGAAAAAGGGCCTTTTGACAACCGTCGTGACCATTGCTTACGGACAGAGCGGTTCGGCACTATTATTGCGCCTCCCGAACCCCTAACTTATTAGCCATCCAGTCTGGTCTTGATGAGAATGCGTAACTTCCCGCGGAATTTCCCATGCACAAGGCAAACCTGGGTAGGTTGGGCAACATGCGACGATGGCGTCCTTCACGTTCGGACCTCGGGTCGTACCCTTTCCGAATACTGCCAAGAGCTCCGAACATCAAGCTCTCCGAACCATCCTCACCAGCGAGTCTAGAGTCGGAGGTTACTCTCTTTGTTGCATACTCCACTGTGCTACTTCGACGATTACCAAATGCCGGAAGAGAACTGGATTGCCCACGGAGGTGTGCCCGCATGTGACTTATGCCATGCTCGGAAGGTCTGCCCTAAATGTGGGTACCTGCATTTGTACACAAGCATTGACAAACACCAGGTGAAATGCGATCGCAAAGAGCCATGCGCAAACTGTGTAGCGGCCAAGGCTGAATGTCTGCGCAATCGGCACAAGCGCGTCCCGCGACCCAAAGTTCGAACGTAAGCAATCATCTGTCCCGCGACCAAATTAGGCTGTGTAGAGGCTTTGCTTTTGTCCAGGTGCTCCAGTCTATCATTACCCTTCGGCTCTGATCATGTGTAGGGACGAGAAAATAAAAGCTCTAGTAGAACGGCTCTCAAATCTCGAACATTCTGTTCAAAGTGTCCATCGTAGCCCAAGTTTGGCACAGGAGCAGGAGACCGTAAATAGCTTTGCTGTGCCAACTATTGAAGCGACTTCAGATCGACCAGCAAAGAGACAGAGGACATCCAGCTCGCTAGATGTGCCAGCCCCAGCCCCAGCTCAGGATGTCGACAATAGCCCACAGACAGCAAATGAGGCTCGCATCCACATCAGCAAAGAGCTCTCTACCAATGGCTTACTGTCGAGCCATCAACGCTCAGTCCTCGAAACCGCCATATCATTTGTTGACCAATTGTCCCACACGCCCACACCAACCATGCCAGACCGCAGCACATTTGATCAGTCGATGCATGTCTCTACTGATATGACTAAGCACGAGATCTTTCATGTCATCCTCGGTAGTAAGTATGCCTCTATGAAATCTTTGACGTGAAGCTGATAGTGAGATCAGCTGAATTCAAGGAACGAGGCAACGCCGCCGTTCGCTACCATACTGTTGATCATGTGCCACCAAAGGCGTTCGAGAAGATTGCACTTGCCCTTATGGAAGGTACTGCTGATGAGAAGACTCTCAATCTGTATCGAGTCATCGTTCACTTTCAGGCAGCTGTTGTACTATATGCGAGCCAGTTGCAAGGCCCTAAGAGTGCAGCTGTCCAAAGACACATCCAACAAATGGAGTTTAATCACCTGATAGCAGCGCTTACTGCTCTAGATAAAGTCAGCTTCTTAACTGCGCCTTCTCTTTTACTCGCGCAGGCATTGGTTACCGGAGTAAGGTAAACATAGTCGTATTACTTGGAACGATGGACTAATTAAGAGCAGGCTACCATGATGCAGATCATGGGCAACCCTGTGAGCTGCTGGGAACTTACTGCTCATGCATCGCGCACTATCGTGGCTCTTGGCTATCATCATATTGACGAACAGATACCAAAAACTGACACCGAGAGCGAGATATATGCCATAGTCGGTCAATGTGCCTATTTTGATAGCGTGATGAGCCTCTTGCTACTTCGGCCACGATCTCTTCCTCAACTCCAGGTAAAGGCTTCGTACCTGTTGCGAGCCGATCCAGCCAGCCCCATGAGTGTTCTAGAACTACTTCCTATACTCGACAAGATTTTGGATCTATCGTTGGAAACCAAGCCATCGCCAGCTATACTGAACGAAGAGGTGGCGCAATTGCGAACAAAGATGCAGGGCATCTACGAGCTTATGGAGAAGGTATGCAGACCTACCCCTTCCTAATTAAGACTTTAGCAGACGCTCATACTTTGCTAGGAACGACAACTGCATCTCCTAGATAGCAGAACTGACGCTCTCATACATTGGAAAGGTATGGAGTTTAGGTACTTTTCTACCCTAACTTCAGTCCACCGTCTAAGCCCTACCGTTACGACAAATCCATCAGAACGAGAGGAGTGTCTTCAAAGTGCCCGGAAGGCATTGGAGTGCGCCAAGGATATAGAAGAACTTGGAAGATCGTTGGATCACTTCATCGAAGGCTATGACCCTTATCTCGCTTGGTGAGCGTAAAGCTGTTCCAGTGAAGGATCCGTAACTAATGACCATCAGGAGTATGCTCTCTTATCCACTCTGCCCCTTCTTCGTCGTTTTTTGCAACGTGGTCGGCACGTCTAGCGCTCGAGATTTCCAGCTCCTCCAAGATGTTACTGACGGCCTTTCTGGGCTCGTTACGGAAAACAAATATGTTCACCGATTGCATCGGCTGTGCGCTACACTGCTGGGTCTTTGTAAACCTCTCGTACGGACTTCGGACCTTCACGAGCAAGTACCACAACCGAATGGAGGATCGGCTGCACCGTTGGGGACCTATCCTCTACCAGCAGGTTTCGGCAATGATCCTGATATTTTGAACAACGGCGGAAGTGATGTGACCCCTAGCATGATGCCTTCATCGTGGAATGACGACATGATGTGGCAGTTGTTCCAATCGCAACCTTCTCTTGACTGGTTCAACGCTGATATATTAGACCCTTCGTGGGGCCTTGGACAAACGCAGTAAATGAGAATCGGAAGTAACCAATACTTTTTTGCTTTATTTACACGTCGGCCATGGTTATATGCATAGTATGTAGTAGCACGACGTTCATGGACATGTACGTAAAGTTTTATACCCAGTCCTTAAACTCACCCCTGTGGACTAGTCTAGCATGCCCCTCCAGTTTGCCTTTCTGTTTCGTAGGGAATGGACTGCCCGCAGCGCTTTCGCTACGATCGCCATCAGCATTGGGCGTCAAACATAAAAATTGACATGTTTTGTCTTACTGTGCCTCTTCAGCTCTTGCACGCGATCAAAGGTCGTGCCAACACACCCTTCCCACTGGCATTTCAACATAGTTCTTTCTATCTCATCGGCATCTGCTATCCCGAATGTTGTCTCTGACAGGTGCTGTGCGTGGCGGAAGCGGCAGTATCACACCAATAACTGGATAAAATTCCCGATGTCCAAGTTCAGTAAGAGTGCAACTATGCCGCGGTAAAGTACCATCAGTCTCGCGATAACTTTCGTAGACAACACCGTTGCGTGATACAGGCTTATCTTATGATTGGATTTCGGTACGATGCTACGACGGACCATCGGATGCCAAACGATTATTATAGGATCTATCAAGCTGTTAGCCCTGTACTCGAAGAGTACAGGCAACTTCACTACCTTTCATTCATCGAATGCAACTGACTAGCCGCAGATAGATCCCCAAACAGATCGCTCGCATCTATTAGACACACCGAAGAAGCATCTCCAGAACGGTAGTTGGCATCTATTCACTCCGTTTGAGGCATGGTGGTCATTTACAAGTGCCTTGGAGCCCTCAGACATCCCACCTGTCCAACACAATTTACCTTCTTCATCCGGAGGTACTGAAAGACCAGTCCAGTTGTTGTTCGCTCGGTGATCTAGTTTGCTTTCTCCATGGCCAGGGCTTGGTAATTAGTAAGTATCGCTGGCTACTAGAAGAACAACCCTTCGGGTGTCTCGATGGGAGCCTTGTAAACAAGATTCCAATCAGGCGATATTTTCCAACGTAATGATGGAGTATGAAGAAAGTCAGCCATACCGCAGCTTCACTCTCTGAAGTTAGGTACGGAGTCGTGTGATCAGTCGACGTACATTTGACCAAGTTAAAGCTCAAATACTGGCCGTAGCGGCGGTAGTCTTGCCTTTCGGGGTACTGAGAAGAACTATGTTTCCGCAAAAGATCGACAGTGCTCCGGATACTTACATATACGTATGAAGCACCACGACGCTACAGGTAAGATGCTTCGATTTAGGTCACACTATACTAGTCTTTCAACTGCGAAATCTCCCACCAACCCGAGGGTTACAGTCGCTGTGTCCAATGAGATCGGACGAAACTGTTTTGTTTCATCGCTGTGAGTTCTTGACAACACGAACGCGGAGGTGCTTTTGTAGTCTTGGTTCATGCCATGCACACGTCGCTTAGTAGGTGCCTTCTCTTGACATGCAGCAGAAGATTTGACGAGTCTGATTTCAGCGTATGTGGCGTACCAGAGCACGAGATTCCAGTAGCTCCATCAGCCCTTGCTTGTCGGCTTCGCACTGTAATAGTCCTCACAACTTACATGCGGAGATCATCATGAATATCAACAGGAAAAAAAAAGTACTTGCCAGGGGTATCTTTGTTGCATTCATCGTGATTGTGCATTATCATGTCTCATCAGATCTCTATCACCACCCCAAACCTCGCAGGAACAATCAACTTGCTACTAAGAAAGTAGCACATACAGTTATTGCATCTCCATTTCAACCTCCTTTTTTGCCTCCGCCGCCTGGGTGGGTTTCCGACTTCTACTCCTGTTCTCTGCTTTCTTCTCCACTATGTCCGCCCCCAGTCCCAAATCGGCGATCTGAGTCGACGCAGGCTCCAAGGATTGTTCCGTACTCGCCTCGGAACTCAGCCTGTTGCCGTCCTCCAACGACTGTTTCACATCCTCTCCAGCGGTCTCATGAGTGACATCCTCGGCATTTTCCCCCGTTTCTGTACCGGTACTCAGATCCGAGCTTGGCTTGACGACTTCTCGTGCTACGTCTTCGCTCGGCCTACTGGTTGCTGCAGCTGGACTTACTGCCCTGTTCGTGTTGCTAGTGATGCCCAGCTTCTCGAAACCCGCCATTACTCCTTGCCTTAGATCCTGCCCTAGCGCAGCTGCAGCATCAAGAGGTTTTGGTGTGTTGGAGACTCTTGGGGAGCGATCGCCAACAGCGTGTGTAGGAGGAAGCTGGACAGTTGTACCTGCTCCAGTCGCTCCGTCCGCGGACTCTGTACCTGTGACAATGGGCTCCTGGACGATTGGAGTGCTCGTCCCACTCCTTCCAGTACTCTGGTTACTGGTCTGGGGTGTGAGATTTGGTGGCGCTTGAGGGCCAAAAACGTTCATCTCCTCGTCAGTACGACCAAAACATTCAGCCCACCACCTCGCCTCGCCTTTTCGAGGGAAGATCATGCGCTCCTTGCCTCGGATAGCGTCATCAATCTCTGGTTCGTACTTTGGGTTCATAAATTCTTGCTTGCGGCAAAGGAAATAGTCCCATACGCTCCTTGTTCGCTCCTTAGCCCTGGTGTCTACGCGCTCCTTTTCATTGTCGAACAGGAACGTTCCGTACTGACAGGAATAGAGATGGTAGAGCAAGCGCCTCAGGAAGCGCTCGCTAAACTCAAATCGGGTTGGGTGCTGATAATGTAGTTGGTATACACAATCGAGAAATTGATGGAACACGGGTGACAGCTCGTTCACCTTGGTGACACGATGCTCCTCCGCAGCTCCAATCTGAACAGGCTTCGACGAGGGAGTATCGGCAACATCTGTGACATTTTCTGGCATGTTCGTTTCCGGGAGCTGATTGAGAGATTCGTTCGATTCGTTGTGACGGTTGAACAGCCCTCGCGCACCACGAAGAGCATTCTCAAAGGCATTGCTGCCTCCAGTGCCGTCGTGCTTGCGCTCAATCTTTTCGTTCTCTATGGTGAACCACTTCTCATGGCTCAGAAACCCTGATCGATGTCGAAACATATGTCCAAAGGAAAGCCAATCCTTCTCAACGAGGACGATGAAACCTTCCAGCGTCCGATAATAGGGATCTAGCAAGATTTGACTGAGTGCACTCAACTGGCTCGTGCGATCCCAGCCATCGGAACAGTGAATGAGGACATGCGAGTGCATGATGCCAACCGTGCGGGCTATCAGCGCAGTTCCATCCAGTATGTTAGCAATGTGCTTGATCCAATTACTCTTGGCCAGAAGCTGCCTGTTTGGGGGAAACGGCACTAGATCCGACTCTTTCAGGGCCTCAATGACAGTATCAAGCGACTTCCGCATGACGTGAATATTATCAATTCCGAGGTATGCTTTCTCCGCTCCTGGATAATAGTCCATCTTCTCTGAACCAAGCCCAACAGCTTGCATCGCGTACGCATTTACTGTAGGCCTAGCATCAACAATGAGGTTCCGCTGCTGGGCCCCGTAGACTTTTGGCGCGTCGGCGTCTGTTTCCGAAGACGCTGTCAGGTCGTCTGCAGTGGTCCTTCCGGCATCGATACTCCCTTCCACTGCACCGACAAAAGAGCTATTAGCACTGGAATCGTTCAGGTTCACAACGCTTGTATCAGGAGTGAGCTCTGCAGAATTGGAGGAGGAGATATTTGCAGGTTTCCACCCGCGGTTAGTCGCCCAGATGGCTGCAACGAGCCGCTCATCTTGAGGGTTTCGATTCCCACGCAGACCTGGTGTGGGCTGTGAGCTTCGCGTTATGGAGCAGTTGTTGACAGGATGGCGGTAAACGAGGGCTGGTATCCGCTGTCGCGATCGGTATTCACCTGCGTACCTGAGAACGCTGTCCGAGACGTTGGTGGGAACGACAAGAAGGGCGGGATACGTCGGCGCATACTGTTCCACTCGTCAAGACCTTCCTCAACGTTACATGTGGCATACCATGTACCTTGTACTCCAAGTTGACTTCTGATATCCGCCAGCCCTTTTCCGAGTCCTTTGGGCTGATGCCCAGTCGCTTCCATTCGCGGCGCGCGTCGTAGATGTTCCAGCCATTCTGTTGGTCTTCTGGTGGTTTTGGCTGGTAGCTGAAGGCCAGTAGCTTGTCTAGTCTGCCTATCTTGCATGAGAGCGCCCGTATGCTATCGTACACGTCTCGCGCCTTCTTGTCATTCGGGAAGAAGAAGGCGAAGAAGGTAAAGTCGCGGCATCGTATGCGGATCGAGGGCTCCTGGCGCAAGACGGGCGGACACGATTTGAGGGAGCAGTAGTTGATCATGGGATAGGTAATCCATACTTCTTTCTGCCGCGGTGGTTTCGCATTGGCGGGAGCGTCGGCGGGCAGGCTGGGGAGGTAGCTGAAGACGAGATGGTGGGGCATGAGGTGCAGTGTGCCGTCGAAGCGCGTGCCTCTGCGGAGGAGGTAGACGTCCTCTACCTGCAGGCAGTGTCAGCGTACTCAAAGCAGTGCTCCAGCAGAGCTGCACGTCTCGGCGGCGTTTCTTACCTTGCTCACGCGTATCCGCTCCATGGCGACTAAAGGGCATGCGACAATGAGTGCGGGTGGCCCGGAGCGGGGTGTGAAATCGCTATAAATATGACCCGACACACAAGACAAGCATCTAGAAAGAAGGATAAAGGCAGATGAGAGCGTCGCCTTGTCCAGCGCGCATGGTCAACATGAGCTTGTCGGCATGTGCCTGCCCTGTCATGCTCATGCCTCGTCCCGCCGCTTGTGTTTAGCATCTTGGCGATCAGCGTCATCTGAGTGTCCGCTTTTAGCACGCAGTCGTCACCTCTATCCATCAACATTCACTTGCACGTCGCAGTTGCACTTGACCTGACTCTCAAAACGCTTCCATCAACACCACAACAACACAGCCAAGTGCATGGAAAAAAGCCGATCCAAGAGAAAATGCTTTCGTTCAACCGCGAGAACAAAACCTCGTTTACTACCAGTGCAGAGCACATCTAGAGCTCAGGTACACAAGCAAAACAGGCAACATGCTACATACTTACTTGGCTTGGCCAATAAGCTTACCTGGAGCCATTTATACTGGCAGCTGCTTGAATTACATGTACAAAAACTCTCACGAAATTACCGCGAGTGCTTTCCCAAACAAAGAAATCGCTACCTCCATCAATAACCCTAAAAACCATGTGAGCATAGACATATAAGCTGGCTATGCGCCGACCCAGGTTCTACACTGTCACATCTGCACACCTAAGCCGGAGGCGGCGGCGGCGGCGGAGGGACATCGCTGGGCGGCGGAGGTGGAGGGGCCTCGCCTGGAGGAGGCGGTGGCGGCACGGAACCAGACGGTGGTGGTGGAGGTGGTGGCGGGCTGCCGGCAGATCCGTACGTCTGGAAGAGAGGACCAAGGCCAGGAGGAGGACCAGCAGGAGGTGGGGGAGCACCGTAACCAGGAGCACCATAGGCACCAGGAGCACCCATACCAGCGTTCTGGTCGTAGCCATAACCACCATATCCATAACCAGCTCCTGCTGCAGGAGCAGTGGGAGCAGCAGAAGCCCAGGGAGCCGCACCATTACCAGCACCGTAGCCTTGATCGTAGGATTGACCACCACGGCCGCCGCCACCAGCCCAAGGCGGAGGAGCGGCCGAGCTACTGTCGCCTCGACCACGGTCGTCGCCATCACGCGCCCAAGGTGCAGAGCCTCCAGTGGGACCACGCTCCCATGGCTTGAGGGTGCGCTCGCCTCCACCGTAGTTGTCTCCGCCAGCAGCGCCGTTGCCGTTGTATTCGATCGCCGCGCGAGGCTGGCCACCAGCGCCTCCCATCTCGGCCATAAATGCGTCGAGCTCGTTCTCTGGGGCACCGCCAATACGAGCTGGCTGACCGCGGTCGCCGAAACGGTTGTCGTTGCGCCAGGGCTGACCGACTTTGCGGTCGGGACAATCGCGAGCCATGTGACCAGCTTGACCACAGACACGGCAGATGATGCTGGCCGTGAAGTTTTGCTTCTGTGGACAATCGTACTTGCGATGACCAATCTCACCACAGTTCTGGCAGGCCTGGTTCTCGTCGTCACGAAGGGTACCGTTGAGGGCGGCAAGCTCACGAAGCTGGTTGCGCTTGAGTTCGTTCTGGCCTTCAGGGATAGAAGCAGCCTGCAAGATTAGCATCCGCGCATGGAATAGTATGGGAAGTGACTTACAGTCTCAATGACGTTATGGATAAGCTTCTTGGCCTTGTTGACCTTCTCCTCGGTATCGGCCATGATCAAGCAATGCAGGTCTTCTTCCTGATTGCTGGTATGAGCTGCGTCAGAGCGTCCTTTACCCTCCTTGACAGAGCCTTTGCCACGAATGGCAATCTTTGCCTGGGATTCCGTCTCCATCTTCTTGAGGGTATTTCCACGGGGGCCAATAAGTAGACCAACTGTTAGTGCAAAGAGCTGTGGTTAGTGTATGATCAAAAATATTGGAGCAAAAGGGTTAGGGTTAGTGACATAGCTGTACTACAGGTGCCACTAGATGCACATAAACATCCAGCAGTCTGAGCAGGCCGGTCAAGACAAAGGCTAGGGCAGCGCAAAACAAGGGGAGGGGAGTTAGAGGGGTTAGTTCCGTACTGAAGTTAATCTCCGGGTAGTCATTGACCGGAACGTAGACTTTCTCCTGTGTCTTAGTGGGCCGCCTGTAATCGGCAGGTGGGTGGTAGTTAGGAAGCGTCTTCATCGCCTTCTCAACGAGCTTGTGGCGCTCGTCTTCGAGGCGCTTGCGGTAGCGGAACTCGCGAGTGTTGACACGGCGACCAAAGTTGTCATACTGGGGTGGGGGCGAGGGAGACCTGTCCATGTTAGCATCTTTGACATTCAGAAAATCAAGGTACGTACCTGTCGCCGTCCGCTGGGACGACATCGTTAATCTTCAACTTCTGGGTGATCTCCTCGATACGCAGATGCAGGGTATACGCGTCAAGCTGCTCGGTAGTCATGGCCGCGTAGATAGCAGTAGGCAGGCCCATCAAGCCAGCCGCCTTGTTCTCGCTCGCATCACCCCATCGATTACGCTTCTTGCGTTGTCGCGGACCGTCGGAAGAGTCTGCGCCACGGTTGTCAGTAATAAAACATGAAAACATTCGAGGGTTTGACTTACTGCGCTCAGGGCTGCGGCCGCGCTTCAACTCCGACAAACCCTCGGCGGGCGCAGACGGGTTGTAACCGCCATCATCATCACCACCGCCGAAACGACGGCGAGTACCTAGAGGTATGTTGTTAGAACCCGTGATGCCCTGGTTGCGCCACGACATGATTGCAGTTGACAAAAGGGTTGCGATTTCGATGAAAGTGTAGGGCGAGTTGAGAAAGTGGAGGGCTGTCGCGACGAGGCAAACGTTTAGGCTAGTAGGGAGCGCGCTTGGCTGCTTTGGGCTGCAGCCTGTTGATCACGTGATAATGACCTCTCTCTTGGCGCGAACCTCCCTCTTACTTAATAAATGGTGCCGTGGCTGAGGAGCTGGGTTCTTTCTTTAATCATCCTAGAGCTCCTCTGCATGATAGGATTACGGAGGTACCGCCTTTCCTATATTCAAGGCCGCATGCTCTTTACACTATCCCAAAAGCGCCAGGCATTAAGACTTCACAAATTGTTACTCGATGGCGGTAGTGCAAAGCAGATGTGTCGCCGATGTTCCACGCTCAAGACTGCAGAAACACATTGGTGCCCATGTGCTGGCAATTTCTCGCGTCGGCGTACCGCATACTCACTTGCTGAAATCTACACAGGTTCGCTCGCCTAAATACCTAGGTAATTCAATTGAATATTCACTACCACCGCTTTCGCATGTACATCTATAAACAAAAAAGCCATCTGTATGCATCATTGGCAGTACTCGTTCTATGATCTTAAGAAATAAGGTAATGCCTTGATCGCATGCTAGGTGTTATGGGCACTCTTCGTCCCGCGAAATGCAAGCTTCCGCGGTGCCACTGAGGCTATGATTTCTGTTACTCACTAGCAACTCTTAGGTGCCAGCATTTCTACCTACCATAGCGAAACTATCCAGAATTCCACGCCTGGAGCCGCTTACGAATCATCGTAGTATTTGGTGTCGGCACGATTAACCAACCACCAAGCTCGATTTTCGTCCGAAGCTGCCCCTCATCACCCCCCACTACTACATCATTAAAGCTGCCAGGCCATAGAGCTCCACTGCGCCCTTCAACGACATATATAGCCACAGACAACGAACTTCCGTTCCTTCTTGCCGTGTCGACTCGTAGCTTCAACTCACCGCGAACATGTCTCAACAATCGGACATCAACTTGTACACCACACAGACGCCTAACGGCATAAAGATTTCGATAACTTTGGAAGAGCTAGGGTATGTACTTTTTCTTTACACAAAAGTTGCAATGCACCTTTCATCATAGTTATGATTTCCAGCCCGTAGTAGCTTACACTGTTCTTTCTCGTCCAATGTCATTCGAGGTCATGGCGACTCCTTCTCGCGTCCCTCCTCCTGCAAGGAAGCAAGAACTTGCAATATCCCAAGATATTTCCTAAGTGGCTCGCAATGCATAACGAAAGGGCGAAATTCTTTGCTGGGTTTAATTGCTCTACTTTGACATATTTTGAAACACGCACCTCAAGTGCTTATCTTCGTCCAGTTCTTTTTAGCAATTCAGACATCGGTGTTTGTGGCCAGTTACATGTCATTCCACTGGTTTTCTTGAATTCACACATTTCATGTACTGGAATTTAGCATACACAACGAAGTAGTCATACTTTGTTGATTCAGTTAGCTGAGATCTGCAGCCTTCCTTACACAGTCCACAAGATCGACATCTCTAAGAATACACAGAAAGAAGAATGGGTAAGTCTAATCTGCCTTCTACTTGATCGTTCTAGGCTAACGAGAGATAGTTCCTGGAAATTAACCCCAATGGACGAATTCCTGCGCTCACAGATACCTTCACTGATGGCCAGACTATCAACCTCTTCGAGTCTGGAAGTATTATGGAATATCTTGTCGACCGCTACGATACGGATCACAAGATCAGCTTCCCCAAGGGCACACGCGAATGGTACACAATGAAAAACTGGCTCTACTTTCAAAATGCTGGCGTTGGGCCCATGCAAGGTCAAGCTAGTGAGTACACTTTCTTCTGCTCTCAATTCTTTGCTTTTTGCGGCCATCCCGAGATCATGTCAGTGTGTCACCCGACGCAATGACGATTTCCTCCCGCTCTTGAAATGGTGCCGTCATTGCACTTCGTGTCAGGTACGGCACTGGATGACCGCGGTAAATGGCGAGATGAAGTCTTCACAAGAATGCCGTGGAGTACATTGTGATTTCACCACAGCTCATGTCTCTTTGGCTTCAAGAATTATGTTGATCTCATCCGTACAAAACGAGCAACCTGCATCTTTTGGGAAACTGTGTCGGCTCGCCAGGATCATTTCCTGGTTGTCGATTCCGATGTGGAGGCTCTCATCCCGATGCGGGGGAGATTACTGGAAGACGTTTTCCATTGAGACACGATCTGCCTGAAGACAGAGAACACGTTCTCTTCAGCATCAAATTACTCTATAGTGCTACCACTGGAATATAATGATGATGCTTGTCGGTGCAGTGAGCTAACGTCGACTGCAGACCATTTTACGCGGTATGCACCCGAACACATTGATTACGGTGTCAAGCGATACCAGAACGAAACTCGTCGTCTCTACTCCGTGCTAGACAAGCATCTTGCCTCAGACAACAAGGCTTACATATGTGGTGAAAGATGCACGATTGCTGGTAAGCACTTCTTTCATGGATCCTCATTGGCCGACCTATTTGTCTTCTTCGTCCATGAACTGCAGCGATATTTGGAATATGTGCCCAGTCATCTCCAGTTGCATCGTACTTTCCATGCCTTCTCCGATACACGTAGACATTCAGCACACTCGAGGATGATTATGGTGACACACAATAACACCTACTAGATATCGCCCACTATGGATGGGTCGCTTCTGCAGGTTGGGCAGGCGTCAATATTGACGAATTCCCTTCGCTCAAAGCCTGGGAGGAGCGCATGACATCCCGTCCTGGTGTCGAGAAGGGTCGTCACGTTCCTGACCCTCACTCCATCAAAGAACTTCTCCAAGACAAAGACAAGATGGAAAAGTACGCTGCCGAAAGCCGCAAATGGATCCAGGGAGGCATGAAGCAGGATGCTGAGAAGCAAAAGTAAGTCCTTTTACTTTCCCAAAGGACGCCCCGTCGCAGTGTAAGCAAGGATGCTGGCAAGACATGTGAGAGTTATCAGGACATCGTCCGGTCAATCGCATGGCACAGTTGTAACTGTTGAGCCAATCGCATCTCTAGCTTTGCTCTTAGTGCTCCTTGAATCCGAATCCGAGTTTGTAACAGCGGTTATCTTAGGCATCAAATTCGTCCGTGCCAACTAACCCCCCCAAGTCCCAGACTATAAATTACATTGCGCCACCATCGCAGCACCGGCACAACACTGCAGGTACCAGTTTGCGAAACGCAAATCTAGTCAGGATGACCTGTATCATTTCCAATGCTCGTTCGTGACGATGACCCACTTGGAACTTTTACGTCTTGGCATTTTCTCGCGCGAGCTCGGGTGAGTTTCAAGACCATCATCATTTCACCTAGTGACAAAACTGCACAAAGCTTTAAACCCAAACGGTCAAGTACATGCGGCTTGCCAAGCTTGTCAATAAAGTAGGGGATATCCAGGCTGGCAAGCTTGGTTGCGTAATACTCAGTCATCAGGGGTGCGACTCAGAAATGATCGATGGGAAGTGGGCTCATCACGGTTCACGGGACACTGCACTAGCACAATATTAGTCGTTGATTGCGAAGTAAGGTCCGGTGATGATCCTATATACCACCGCGGACGCTCCGATTGCCATCGAGTTGCGCATTTGTCTGTCTGAAACGTTCGAGAAGCAACATCCAACCTTGGAAGGTTTTGTGAGAGGCCGGGAAATCTTCCGTACGATGTCGGGGCTGAGGAGCGCTTACATGCTAGCGATAATAGTGCTAGGAAGCCTGGAGGTGAGTCGGCGGCCCCCAGAGTACGCTACGGCGAAGTGCCGAACCAACTAAATGCACTTCCAAACTTGAAAAAAAAAAAGAATCTAACGATAACTTATGACTGACGTACACGCGTGTATCGTGAATCTGGATTCAATAGACAGAGATTTGTTGACCAGTGCCTGCTGAAGGGACGAAGCTCCGGTGACTGTATCATCCCATGCGCATGGGCTAATGCCCACTACTCAGGTGGCTGAGGGAACGCCGACGGCATCGCCTGTTGCCGTGATGGTGGGCATGCGGTGACACCCGTTCGAAACTCAGAAGGCTCAGCCATCGACCTAGCCATCAATTAAGAGATTGCTTCACTGAAAGGGTGTACATGGTTGGATCATGTCAGTCTCAGAGACACCACAGTTGCCTGATCATCGTGAGAATCAGCTCATCCGGCGAATCCGGGAAGGGAAGAATGTACTCACGGATACGGAAGGCGTTCTCTCCCGATTTCCTTTCACAGGGGCTCAAGGAAGGATTAGTCGTGTCCCTGAAAAGAGTGCGTGGGCTGCTTACTGGTTTGATGGAGGGCGGACACGCGGTGTTTATCACTTCAGGGGATCAGGTATATCGCTCCTGGGTTTGTGCAGAGCACCTGCAGCACACCCACAGTGGTATCTGCACCTGTATCAACAGGACGGACTATTCTAAGCCACCAAAGAGCGTGCCCCCTCTGACCAGTTCACCCTCTATCCGTCAGTCTGGCAGCGACTTGCGTCCCGTAACACCCACACTTACCCACGCCCCCAGTATCATAATCTCCCCGCATTAATGCTTGATGAGATGCAGGTTGCATGATCGCAAGGAGCTCTGCGACGGCGGCAGCGACGGTTGGGCTCGCTTCAAATGAGCCGGTTAAGCCTCAAGGGGTTGAGGGAGCGTGATCCCCCAGCTGTGAGGTTTCGAACCGTAGCTGTTATACTACGGCTATTTCGCCTCTGCCATAGCCGCCACGGTAGGCGGCGCCCCCGCAAACCTGCCACGGCTCGATGTCAACGGTGAACATCGTAGAACATAGTTGATCGAAGCGGGTCATAAGATTGACAGGGCAGGCAAGCATCGTGTTTGCAAAGCGGAGTAGCCGTCCGCACACCCGACGCTGTCACTTCCCCAGGTTTTGGTGTATGCCACAATCCCGGCTTCACTGGCCAGGGAATCTGGGGTGCATGAGGGAAGCAAGTTCTAGTGCATACCATAGTATCCAATGAATCAATCAAAGTCTTCTATACTGTAATGTCCAAATGTATAACATGCAAGACTCGCCCCAATTAAATTCAGCTATGTTTGATCGTGAGTAGTTCAATGATAGTTGCTCGAGCTTGCAGCCAGTGTAGGGTGCACAGCAAATATGTCATGCCCATATTGAACAGCCTCCATGTGTGGCTGGAATAATGTCGTCCCATATTGCTTCAAGAGAACGAAAACTTAGCAAACTTGTGCGGGGACCCGGCCTGTGAGTGGTGAGGATCTCAGTACGAGTGAACCTTGGAAGCGTCGCAAGCTCACAACAAGCCTCTTCGCCTCTCGCCCCAAACAGCATGCGCAAATGTATGTGGAAGCCCCAAGCCTCACTGACCTTCAGGAAGAAGTATAGCCTTCGCTAGCTCAGCGTCGCTAGAGAGTCTGACATTCAGTGATTCATGACTCTTCTGTGAGTGGGATTCTGTATCAGCTTGACTCCTACAGAGATAGGAAGGCCAAAGCTGTATGGTCACACATTTCGGGGCTTGATACAAAGTGGGTGAACTCTGGCGCCCGTATGCATGCGACGGGACCCAGAAGGCACAGATTGGTCATCTTTTCGAGGCAAGAGCGAAGGGGCCTTGTCGTTATGCATGCTCATTGTGCGGGCCCTCGTGCTAGAACCTGCAGCGTATTGCGGACCCCCCCTCCTCGGTCGCAATACGCAGCCTCTCAAGATGAAGCAATTTCATTGTATACCGGTAGGACCGGCCAAGCTATCACTTCCGTGGTGATGCAGCACCTCGCATTTGCAAGGCTGTGAGCTAGTTCAACGGCCCGGCAGGCGCTGCTCTCGTGTGGGTGTGGACCAAGTTCTTAGCATGTGACGACTAAACTGGATAGATTTATGAAGATCGTTGACAGAGCCATGAAGCAGTGTCATCCCTTTCCATCGGCCAACATGTTTCAGTTGAAGAGAGTTTTGTTCAACATATGGTGCCCACGTGGGGCTGAAAACTCAGCTTGAAGATTCTGATCATCCGGTCAAGTTACGAAATGAAGCTCCCAATGCTGCGTCTTCTAGAACTCCTGTTGTAGCGCGTACCTGAGATAAGCGTGGGATGCCTAAGAATTCTCCGTCCCAAGAAGATTTAAGCGGATCCAATGTTATGTTCTGTTGCAGAACCATTACGGCCATCTTGTTAGTATATAGACCGTTCGCATCGTTGGTGTGCTGGCAAGGGACTACACGGCCAGTTTGCGGTGTTCCGCATATAGACGAGAAACGGTGACGTTGGGCCGACCACATATCGGAGGTGGGTTCACAGCCACTACAAGCTCGCTTAGAGGCGCAGGATTTCTCGGCTTCTCCTGCATGGCGGGGACAGCGATGCTACAGAACAAAGTTTGACCAAAATCCGCCGACACAATTAGCTCACGCTTCAACCAACGTATGTATCGGTGTATATACTTGAGTTAGCAGATAGACCATGTTCAGTACTAATGACTCCTTTGTGGATACCGAAATACAGGCTTGTCTTCGGGTCGAGACTCACGCTCGGTCCCTGGGTGAGTGGGACTTGGTGTGGATATCATTGGATGTAGCGCGAAGGGCGTGCCATGCCTTCACGAGAAGATCGTTGTCGGTATCAGGTATCGGGTTTCAGGTGCTATGGCGGCGTGCATATTTTGACGTTCTGACGTCTGGTCCTTGATCACTATGGGTACGCCAATGACGGCCAGGTACCGTGAAACGGGACGGACGCTGTTTCAGCAGATGATGGCATTCCAAACCAGCAGAGCTCCAATCGTGGCGCGCCAGATATCGGCGAAGGGGAGGTATATCAGGCACTTTAAGACGATATCTCCGATGCTGATGTTGCGCAAGAGTGCCTCGGGAGTGTTATTATGGTCAGGCGCTACAAGCCACAACCTGGAGAAGCTGCCAGCAGTTATTGGTACTGGGAGCAGGCAAGGATTGGCGGGAAGCTGACGTGCGGTGTGAACTTCGAAGAAGCGGGGCTCTTTGCGGTTCGCTCCTAGCGCCGACTTTGAGAAGTGCATCTCCCACCGGTTAATCTGCATTTAGCCATGCTCGAATCATGCGCTAGGATTTTCTGACCCTTGCCACGGTCCCCTGCTACGGCGTTCCTGACCCTTGCCACGTCTTGCCCCAGAGCCTGGTTGCCGTAGCCAATGGGTCGTAGCTTTCATACATCCATGAATGCTCGAATTAAACACTGCGTCTTCTGATATTGCACTCCAGTTGATCTCGCTTCTCGAAGCCCGCGTGGACGCATGGAATCTTCAAGCCACAGATCGTCACACTGACCCTTGGAATCGTCTTTGCACCTTAGGACATCTTACAGTCGGGGTGTACCCTCGGCACCTAAAGCTTTGTCGGAGGCCCACATATGCTCCCCAAGTATCGCATGACCCGTGGTCGTCCCCAGATTTCCGGCTACCGACTCCTTCGTCTTCAAGTACTCCCGCGACGTCACCCGCGTGCACCAACTGCCGTTCCTTTCGAGTTCGCAGGTCTCGAATTGGGTTGCCACATTGCAGGAAGCAGTACGTCGGCCATATTTGGCGGGGGCCGGTTGGTGCTAATCTCATGTAGGGACCAGTTGAAGTCATAATCGTCACCGCAACCAACAGACGCAGCCATGGAGACCACGACAGCAGAAACACCCAAGCTCGAGCGTCGGGGCTCAGCACCAGTAAAGCGGAGAGTTAGCCGAGCATGCGATCATTGCCATCGAATGCGAACAAGATGCAACGGCCAAGCTCCGTGCTCGCGCTGCATAGAGCTCGAATACGTTTGCCAGTACAACCGTGAAAAGAAACGACGTGGAAAAGTAAGCAACTCCCAACTATCGATGACCACCAGCCCCAACCGCGTGGACGTCGGTACGCGCATGCATTGCGACTGTCTGGTACATCGAGGAGCTGACGCATTACAGGTTCCACGGCACATTCAGAAGCAGAGAGAAGAGGCTGCTGCTGGTGGTAGCCCGCAAACCCCTAATGGCATTTCTAGTTATTACGAGAGGCCTGGTGTCATGGCCGAGATGGATGAAGATGTTTGGTCGCAATCAGAAGCGACGCCAGTCGTACAGCACTTTCCAGCTGGTAAAGGTGGTCTACCTGGGGGCGATTGGCAAGCTCTGAACCCTGGCACAACATTCGATCCACCTGTCAACCACATGATGATCGATCCATTACTTCTTGGTTCAAACGCTGCGTACCCGACGATGCACGCCGAGATGCCTCGCGAAGAGCTCATGTATGCCATGAATGGTACGTACGATGGACGAGCCCGGAGTACTTCGCACCACTCGCAGTCTGTGTACATGTCTCGTTTGTCTCGTATGTTACTCAAAATGCCTCTTGCGTATTGCGATACGTGTTGAATCGGAAGAGTTGCTGACAGCCATAGGCATGCATCTCATCCCCGGCCCTAACGGAACACCGGTTTCGATCCCCCCTGAGTACGCCAACATGGCCTACCCAATGCAGTACCAGCAAGCTGGAAGGCAATCATCACCCCGTAGTTATGGTTCCGTCGACACAGGATCGCCACAATCGGGAGTTAGCGTAAACTCTTCGCAAAACGCCCCTGCCATAGCCGCCTGTAGATACCCAGTCTTGGGACCACTGCTTCCCCATCTAGGACCAATACTGAATGCCACCACCGCATGCGACCTGCTCGAATTCTACTTCCAAAGTTCCTCGTCGGTATTTATGGAACCAGTTTCGCCGTATATTCTCGGGTCTGTCTTTAGGAAGCGAAGTTTTCTACGACAACACAAGCCGAGAAAATGTAGTCCCGCTCTGCTTTCGAGTATGCTTTGGGTCGCTGCGCAGACCAGCGAAGCGAGCTACCTGACCTCATCGCCGTCTGCAAGAGCTATTATCAGCCAGAAGTTGTGGAAACTGACTGTGGATCTACTCAAACCCCTCGTTCATTCTCCATCCTCGCATGGGTTCGCACCAGGACCTGGACTGACATCCGCCGCACACGACGCCTTTGGAGTTGATCGAGCAATAGGACGCTACGATGGAAGACCTGACGGAGCCATGCCACCCACAAGTACGTTGGACGATGTCGCCACATATATCAATCTTGGCGTAGTCACTTCTGCAAGCGAGTACAAGGCGGCTTCCCTACGGTGGTGGAACGCGGCGTGGTCGCTAGCCCGAGAGCTCAAGTTAGGCCGAGAATTACCACAAGGACCTGTTAAAGAGCGAGAGACAACCGCAACAGATGGGGAGATAGAAGTGAGCATGTCGGATTGCTCTAGTGCGCAAGCGCCTGTGGGCACCCCAGCCGCGGCAGTCGTGGAGGAAATGAAAGAGGAGAGGCGTCGACTGTGGTGGTTACTCTACATGGTCGATAGGCACCTTGGACTATGTTATAACCGACCCTTGGCCATGCTTGATAACGAATGCGAGGATCTGTTCCAGCCAGTTCCGGACACGCTCTGGCAAGCGGGCGAATTCTATACGGGCCATCCTGGAGCGCGAAAACGGGGACTCAACTTCGAGTGTACATCGTATGTATAGCCCGCAACTGAGAGACACCGCTTCCAGGTGATCTTTTAGCGCATTCTGATGCGCCTGAGGACTATGCTAATCTAGACAGGCATGATATATTCGGTTTCTTTCTGCCATTAATGACAATTCTTGGAGACATTGTCGATCTAAACGCCCAGAAAAACCACCCCAGATTCGGTCAGCGGACATCCTGGGAGCTTCACGAAGCAGAAATCACCCGCCAGTTGGAACGGTACGCGTACAGCATCGAAGACTTCAAGGCACAACACGGCTGCGGCTCGAACGAGGAAGCTCAATCGAACAGTACACCCGACCCAGTCCGCAGCGAATGGATTCACCAGACCAGGAAAGTCGCAGCCTATGCTACTCATATAATGCATGTGTTGCATATCCTGTTGCACGGCAAATGGGATCCCGTGGCACTTCTGGAGGATGACAATATGTGGATATGCTCACAGTCCTTCCTTGCGGCAACATCCAACGCGATATCGGCTGCCCACGCTGTCGAGGTAATATTAGACGTGGATCCGGATTTGTCGTTTATGCCCTACTTGTTCGGCATGTATCTCTTGCAGGGAAGCCTTATCCTGCTTCTCTTAGCCGACAAGTTGTCTACTGAGACTAACGACGGGGTCATTCGCGCATGCGAAACGATTGTTAGGGCACATGAGGCTGCGGTCGTAACTCTCAATACAGAGTATCAGGTAGGCTGTTCCTTTCATGTTTGTTGCCATTACACGGCTAACTTGACGCAGAGAAACTTCCGCAAAGTGATGATTTCAACATTAGCGCAAATCAAAGGCCACGGGCACGCAAGAGAGATGACGCCTGCGAAGAGGCGAGAAGTACTATCCTTATACCGCTGGACGAGTTTGGGGAACGGGCTGGCTATCTAAGTGAATTGGAGGACATTTAGAAGCCGGTGGTGGACATCGGCGTCTGGCGCGACTCGCACAAGCCTGCGGGCTGTATATGTGGCTGGATCGCTGTACAACTATGGTTTCCTTTTCTATGCGTGGTTATGAAAACACGTGAACGGGCGCATAATTTCGGCTTCGTACGGCTGCATCTGGCCTCTTTTATTGGAGCGATTGGCTATGCTGCATGATCAGCAACCCGTAGATATCATTCAAAGTAGCAACGTAAACTCAATTGCTGTTCAACCACCATTGCGCGTATATGCTGCGTCACGATCACAGGCAAACTGGGAAGTGCAAGCCTGTCGTGAATTGCGCCGTCTGTGGCAGCTGCCGCGACTGCCGCTCGGGCAGAAAAGGAATAATGACGGCGAAACGTTGGCGTTCGACCTAGATTTTACGCTTGGTCCTGCGATCGCCGAGGCAAGGATGCTGCTCTACTTGTCGCTAGGGTAGCCAGGTTCTAGATGCGACGCGATTATCGGGGTGGCAGCAAGCAGCCGCCAGAGACAAGGCTATGAGATACAAATCAAATGAAGGTGGAGCGAGAAACTGTTTCTGCTGTGTGAGAGTCACAAGGAAGGTGCGGCCGTCTTGCGCTAGTTTGTGATGATGCTGCAATGGCAGTTGCGACCCTCCGAGGTTCCTCCTTAGGCGCTGCCAATTCTGACGTAGTGCGCTTACTCGAACTAAGCTCCGCAATGAAAACAACCAAATAGGATATCTATCATAGAACGGTTATATACAACGACGAAAGCACCATAAATGCAGACACGTGCTTTTGCCCCAGACTTTCAACAAAGTATGTGTAGAAAACGTAGCACAACCCATCATAAACATAAGAAAACATGACGTAAACTGACTATAACTTCTTCTCTACCTCCATGACCTCTCTGATACCTTCCGCGACAGCGTCGACCTTCTCTTGTGGTAGTCTCTTGAGTGGCTTGCGGGGGTAGCCACCGTAGCCGTAATATGACTGAATTGCTGACTTAGTTCCAGGGATGGCGGCCTTTGTGAGGACCCAGTCGCCTTTGCTGAGCACCTTTTGTAACTCAATTGCCTCGTCGTACTTTCCTTCCGCCCATAAGTTCCAGACCTTGACGCATGTCTTTGGCAGGACATTAGCACCGCCAGCGATGATTCCTGATCCGCCACTGGCAGCAGTCTGAGCTGTGAAATCGGCCATACCACCAAAGGCCATGTAGCCACTACCATTGCTCTTCTGTGTGCAGGCATTGGTGGCAAGGGCGACACGAGTGAGCTTTCCAGTGTTGCCGCATGTGAATTTAGTACCGACAATGTTAGGGTGTTTGCCAAGCTTGATGATGAGGTCGCTGTCCATATCGATACCGGCAACGGCTCCTGGATAGTTGTATAGGATAATTGGGAGTGGTGAGCCGTCTGCAACCTTGGTGAAGTACTCGTAGATGGCCTCTTCATCCATGGCATAGCGGTAGTAGCTTGGAGGAACGGTAAGAACGTACTCGCCGCCCGCTGCCTCTGCTTCTTTGCAAAGCTCAATTGTAAGCTTGATACCGTGTTCAGAAGCTCCAACGATGACCGGAACGTTTTGGTAGCCAGCCTCATCGAGGGCTTCGCGAGTTGCTCGCGTGACAGCGGTTTTCTCGGCCCGTGACAGGTGGACAGCCTCTCCGTTGGATCCCATAGTAACAAGACCAACAAGACCAGCCTCGGCTAGTCGTACTGCATGCTTCTTGATTGTGGGAATATCCAGCTCCTCAGTCTCTGGGTCGAAGAAAGTCATGGTGGGTGAGTAGATACCCGGTCGGAGAGGGGTGCGTTCCTTGGAGTGGCCATTGGCCCCGTTACCATTTGCTGCCATGTTTGCTATATGTCTGGTCAAGAAAGACTAGAGAGTGTCGATGAAGAAGGCAGGCTATATACGAGAATGCAAATTTCGGGAGAGAGGAAAGGGAGAACAATATCGATGATTCAAGTACGGGTTCGGTCAGCTTTAATATAGCAGCGAGATGGAGGCAATCGGCGCAAAGTAGGTCAGAGGAGCTAAGTTCGGCAGAGCTCACGTCTCATCCCACATTGACTGGCGTGTCTCAGTGGCTCTACCGTTGTCGAGATCTCGTCAAATGCGCCTCGGTGATTCGCCAAGGGCAGCGACCGTGAGGGCTAGACTGGAGTTTGGGGGCAGGGCTGTGGGCCATCTGGCGAGTTCGGGACACCACTGCGCGAAATGCGGGACATTGTGCGGCCTTTTCTATGGGAGTGACTAAAATCGGCGGTTGTGTGATGGGATAGAGCTGCATCTGGGGCAGGGTTAGCTGTCGAGCATAGTGGCACAGCATGGCCGTGTTGGACGGGTGGCATTCTTCCACCAATGAGACATGGGTCGGCGCGTGGGGGGGCTGCGACTGTCCCTCTTTGCTTGGCCCTGGGGAAGTTCGCTACCCCTCGGAGACAATAAACTCCAGCAACCGCGCACACCCCAAGAGATTCCTCCAAGACACTTCTGGCGTGCTGAGACCAGCCCGGCTGCCCTATAGATGGCTTGGAGACGCCACAGCCATCGAAAACGGGCGCAAAACAATCGCCTTCAGCAAGACTCCGCCCCCACCACGACCAAAGGCCTCGAATGATGTAACGTCATCCGGCCGCGGCTGCCGGCAGAACGCGTGAGGGCCTCGTGCCCCTCATCGCGTTGCTGGGCCATATATTTTCCGTCGCTATCGATAAGTAGTCAAAGGCCGACGAAGCTATGTCGGGTATTGAGCGAGCGCATCCCCTTGAATTCAGCTCTTGTGTCGTCTCATCTCCCTCGGAAATCCGACAGTAGCTAAGGAACGTCTCAATTCATCTTCGCAAACGTCCAGATCTTAAAGGAAACGGTCATCATGGCGCCAGTAGAAGTCCTCATGGTATGTTGCCCCTCATCGGCCACCTAACTGCAGCTGTCTCGCATGCATGCATTCATGCTCTTCCGTTACAATGCGTTTACAAAGCTGATTGCAAACCTAGGTTGGTACTGGAGAGTATACGACGGGATTCGTAGGAGGAGGCGCATCCAAGTCGGATAAGAAGGTTGGAGTTGTAGGACTGACGCTGTTCGACCTCCGAAGACGCGGCAAGGTTGGCAAACTATCTATGGTGGGCACATCGGGCGGCAAATTCCCCGCAATCCGTGAGTTGCACGGCGTCTGAATTGCTCTCCCCATGTGGCATGCTAATCTCTGCCAGGCGAGCATCTCCAAAAGAACATCTCCGAAGCATACAACAACTTGGATGTGTCATTTGAGGAATTTCCCAAAGAAGGGAAGACCGACCCGAATGCGTACAAGGCCGCGATTGACGCGCTTCCCAAGGGGAGTGCCAGTAAGTTACAGCGTATATCGGCTCTATTGTGTACTTCCTCTGATATCTCTTAGTCACCATCTTCACACCTGACACCACCCACTACCCAATCGCTTTGTACGCCATCGAACGCGGAATTCACGTCCTCATCACAAAGCCTGCAGTAAAGCTACTAGAGCATCACCAGGAGCTTTTGGCCGCAGCAAAGAAACACAATGTCTTCGTCTACATTGAGCATCACAAGCGGTACGATCCCGCTTACGCGGACGCGCGTTTCAGGGCACAGAAGCTGGGCGACTTCAACTACTTTTACTCTTACATGAGCCAGCCAAAGTACGTTTGAACTTGTGAAAGCGGAAATAACAGTAGCTGACAGGACAACTAGGAGCCAACTGGAAACGTTCAAAGCGTGGGCAGGTATCGACTCTGACATCTCTTACTACCTCAATTCTCACCACATCGATATCAACGAGTCTATGATTCCTGATTGGAAGCCGGTACGCGTCATGGCTAGTGCCGCTAAAGGTATTGCGACGGGATTGGGATGTGATCCTGCTACCGAGGACACAATTACATTACTCACAAACTGGGTGAAGAAAGATGACCCAAGCAAGGTTGGGACCGGTGTTTACACAGCTGGCTGGGCAGCACCACAAAAGGCTGGTGTACACTCAAATCAATATTTCCACTACATGGCTTCAACAGGAGAGATCCGCGTCAACCAGGCAAAGCGCGGCTACGATGTTACCGACGATGAGGGTGGCCTCCTTTGGTACAACCCGTAAGTTCAAGCACCAAAACATTGCCACTTCGCGTGCTAACAATCTTCAGATTCTACATGAAGTACGCTCCTGACGAGGAGGGTAATTTCGCCGGCCAGATCGGTTACGGGTACATCTCGTTTGAGAAGTTTGTTGATGCTGTCAACAAGCTCAACGCAGGCGAGGTCACACTTGACCAGCTAGACGCGCGGCCGCTACCAACTTTGAAGAACACTATCGCGACAACTGCAATCCTCGAGGCTGGCAGAAGATCGCTCGACGAGAACCGACCTATTGATATCATCGAGGAGAACGGTGTCTGGTCTCTGAAGTAGTTCACTTTCTAACCAAAAGCGATATGTCACTGCTCAGTTGGACGCGAATCCCACATGCTTTCTAGTTAGTGTCTTGCTTGAATATGCCTTGCTTAACTTTACCCTGAGTTACACAGTTATTGTTTACTCATCAGCCACGGATCGCTAGCCTGATGTGATCGTCGCATCCGTGATGGCGCGGTTCCACGTGGTGACTGACACGCCGTTGCTGGGCTCCACCCCCACAACGCCAGGCTACCAGATAGTCATACCCAGAAACAAGGTCGTGACAAGGTCAAGGGTCTCCACAAAGTGGCATAGGTAAAAACAAGGGCCTTCTGAAAACCGGGAGATCATCGGGTGCTCTAGTCAGTTTCTGCGACGGGTTCGGGCGAACACCCACCGAGCAGGCAGGCTAGGGAGGACCCGAGACCGAGAATGCCCACTCCGACTCCGACACTCTGTCTCCCTAATTACTGACTCTCTTCCTTAGTGTAGCACAGGCCGATGGCTGGCTATCCTAGCTCAGATCTGTGGAAGGCTTTTCGTCGTTGTTTCGAACTCTAATTTGACGTCG